TGTGTCAAATGTTGTTTAATTTAGACCTTTCTATTAGTGTATTTGAACATCAAGTTCTAATTTCTTCTGATAGGGAATTATTTAAGCCACCTACACTTATCAGATCTGGAGGAGGAATTCACAACTATCTGTATCAATTGAAATCATCCGTACAGGGACAGCCACAAATGAAAGTTGAGGGAAGTAATGTCCTTGGCAAATTTCAGATAACATGGCGAACAAATCTGGGTGAGCCTGGTCGCCTGCAGACGCAACAGATTCTTGGTAGCGTAAGTGATTTCCAAGCATATCAGTTGAAATTTAGGTTAACACATGCCTAGATTTTGCAAGCAAAGGGGGGTTACTGATCACTGTTTAGATGTAACTCGTCCGAGAGATGATGGTGTCACAAATGAATTTTACGCTCTGCAGCTTGCCAATATCTACTTATCACATCTTACTGGGTATCTTGTGGTGAATAAAAGGAGAGATCTGCTGCAAGAATAGAAATAGGAAAACTTCCAAAGCTTGTATTTATTTTTTACTTGTTAAAAAGAGATTCTTGGCATCTTTGAGTCTTAAGAGTTACGTCTGACTTAGACCTGTAGGTACATATTTTACCTATTGATATAAAGTTTATCTTCTTAGGTCTCTGATATTTTATCTGCTTTCAGCCTGTAGTACACAAAGATATTGAGTTGCAGGCTGTGGAGGTACCATCTCTTGTCATCTTCGAGAAGCCCTTCTTGGTAACTTTCATTTATTTAAGCAAATAGGACTAGGGGGGTCAAATTATAACTTGCTGTATTCATTATTTCTTCTCTTTGTCCTCCTATGATCCTTTTTTTTTTCTCTTACAGTTGCGCTTAAATCTCACAAATCAGACAGATAGGATACTAGGCCCCTTTCAAGTTTGGTTGTCGCAAAGTGATTCTTTTGATGAGAAGGCTGTTTTGGTCAATGGCCTTCAGATGATGGTGAGACATAAAAATGGCTAGCAGTAAACTTTGCTTTTGGGTTTTGTTAAGATGCTAGTTTAATCTTATTCTTCCAGCATTCTCTTGAATACTATATTCCACTGTTCCTGGTTGTTTGGAAGGGTTTGATTAAACATCTAAGAGACTTAGGTATGTAGTTATCACTTCATAGTAGGCTTTAGCTGACAATGATATTTGAAGCTTTGCAAGTCCATCCTATGAAGCTTACTTTGTCCATTGGATCCTCTTAACTTTTACGCATCATTGCAGCCTTTGGCGGAGGTGGAAGCATCGAGTTCTTCTGAATTCCAACTGGTAAGAAGAGTCTTCTGCAACATTTTTCTTGACCATATTAGTTTGAAGATTCAACTTTTGCTAAGTGAAATGCAAATTAATATCTCAACCTTTGAAAGTTTGGAATTTTTACTTTCTAATGGTCAGAAATTAAATGTTGTGCATGGCTGTTATTGGGAAGTATAGCTTCAGTTCTTGCAAAGCAGGACTTTTAATGTCTATGGGGATAAATGTCTACTGATGGATGTTTAAAAAATCAGAGTAAAAAGTGTTCAAGTTGCTAGCTATAACTTGATTTAATCTGCCAAAGCTGAAGAGAACCGACGTATTAGAAGATTGTATTTCTGTGCTTATTCCTCCTCCTTTCTCTCTTTCTTTTGTTAAGTTATAGTCTTAGTTTCTCAAAACCCCCCCGCTAGTATGTGGAAGGCACTGTTGACTATGCACGTTGTTAGTTGTATCAAATCTAGTAATCATTGAAATTGCTATGATTGGGCAAGTACGTGCAACTGATGATTTTTTCAAGCTTGGGACTTCATAGAAGTTACTCAACTGTTACTGCAATTGCTTGCCATAATTCTTGGTCCTTTTGCTTTCAGAACTTAATAGCAACAAAGCGCGGAATTCAGAAAATCACTGGAATTACTGTGTTTGACACACGGGAGAAGAAAACTTACGAGTCCTTGCTAGAACTAGAGGTTAGTATTCTATCAATACTTTGGCTGCAACTTTGACTAAACTTGGAGGCAAATGCTAAGATTGCTTTTTACTGACCTTGATTTGGCAACAGGATGATTTTATATATATATATATATATATATATATATATATATATATATATAATTTTAATATTCCAAGAACCTACGAACAGGTTATTTGATCTTAAGTCTGTCAGTGGAAGGAAAAACCCATGTTGTGTTAGTCGGACTAAAGAAATGAGCAAGTATGATGGGATAGAGAGAGAGAAAAGTGATGACATTTCATTACCAGATCACATCCTTTTTAAAGATCAGATCATGGACTTTCAAGTCAGATTGAAAACACAATTTATGTGGGGTGGCTACTATAGTTGCTGATGGGTTTTTAATCTGACGTTTTTGGGGGTTATTGTGCAGATATTCGTGGATTCAGACTACACCTGAGCTCTTGTGCCTCCGGTTTGTTCACAGGATGTGCTCTAACTTGCGTTGTGAGCTTTCATGAGAGCTCTGCTTGGTATATTGTGCCCTTTGAGTCGGCGAGCTCGTCGGACTATGAGGCCCGGATACTACACCATTTCGGCGCTGATGCCTATTTATGATTGGCCCCGTGAACTTTGTGACCTTCCGTTTGAAGCATTATAGTGGATGAAGGAAATGATCTTCTTGACAAGAAATGTCTTCACCAGTCGTAACTGTATACCACATTCTACATGGATTTTGCTTCTTTGCTTGTATACTAGTTTAGAAAAAAATAATATAACGTCAATTGACTCTGGACATTTTTTTGTCTCCCTTTCTCCTTTTACAAGATCAATATGTTCCTGTAAGAACTTCTCCATTTTTTTTTTAATTCTTTTGCCTTTTGCTTTACACTTCTTTACACACACTATTAATTTGGTGTATCGTACATTTCTTATTTTAACATCTTTTATGTGTTGGATTTAATATGTTACACTCTGAAGTGTTACCTTTATTATGATAAAAAAATTTACTACTTTATATTTCGGTTTTTGATTTTCAACTTTTTGGTCAATATCGATTGGAGCAAATTACTTGAGTAACCATAGAGAGTTAACTATGAAGAGTTATTTGCCTAAATAAGTCCCTTCACAAAAAATATTTCCAAAATGACTCCCTTCACAAAAAATATTCCCAAAATGATTCAATTTCATACTTTATTCCCATAACAACTTTTTCTGTTATCCATTGGATCAAATTCAAATGGAAATGAGAAAAAGGATAAAACCCTTCATTAGCCATTAATATTGTCCAAAAATCACCTACATGACTACAGTATTCTACTTAGAATCTATCTTCTCTTTTTTTACTATAATACTATACTCTGACTTTACTTGTCACTTTACTGTCCAAAAAAGTCTTGAATACTTAACATAATCTGACGATATTTCTAAACATGAGAGCAAAAGTCTTGAATATTTAAATAAACTTGACAATATTTTCAAAGATGAGAGCAAAATCTAAAATTTGACTGTTCATCTTCGTTCCAGTTGCAGTAATTTTCTCTTTGTGATGCTATCCTTCTTATTAAAAAATAATAATAAAAGAAAAACTCAATACAAATCTAGGGAAACTGGAATTATCACTAAGCATGAAAGCAAAATCTAGAATTTTGATTGTTCACCTCCATTCCAGTTGCGGTAATTTTCTCTTTTTGATGCTCTCTTTCCTATTAAAAATAAAAAAAAAAAAGAAAAAAAGAAGGAAAAACTCACTACAAATCTAGCAAAATTGGAATTATTAGTATGTTTATACAAAAATTTTCCATCACTTGTTAATTCAAAATTTTCCGTCACTCTCTCCATTCAATCAATCGTACAAAAATTAGTTTTGATTTTGTCATACTGCATTGAACGGGAACTCATTGTGCATGTGGCTATATGGGAGGAATAGCATGTAGAACTGAGGAAAATAGTCTTATGCTTTTTATTTGGAATCGATACTCGTCAGTCTGGAACCTCCTATGTTAATAATGGTGGTAACGAGAATTTGATTGAGTTTGAAGAATTTGATATAGAAAGCATGGAGGAGGTTGCTCCTTATTAGGGGATAAGCTCAGAAGATTAGATTAGTAATAAAACTTGGAGTTGAATCATTGTAGGAATATTTTTTGAAAAAAAAGGTTATTTTGGCAAAAAACTCTAACTATGAAAGGGACCAAAATTTATACATTTGATAGTTTAATGGGTGATTAGAACTTGGCAATTGAGATTGTTTTATTCTTCTTAACGTGATAATGCATGATTCAAAAAGGGCTTTATTTGGAATATTAAAGTTGTCCTAATTTTTATATACATTTCATCCATTGTATGTAATCAAATTAATGAGAGTAATATACATATAGTAACATATATATATATGTATATATAAGAAAGTAAATTAACTATTAATGCTTTAAAAGTATCACCTAATTTTATCTTTTTATTAAAAATAAAACATTGGACCCATTTGTTGATTTGAGCACCAAATAGACAGACTCAGCTGAAGTGGGACTATTGTAATTCCTTCAATGCTGTACAATTAATATGGGAAATGTAGATAGAGTTGGCAACCCTAAAACTTGAGCTTAAATTTGTCTAACATCTACTAACGCTACTAATAGTTCTCATATTTAGTGGGCGGCTTAAATCTTGCAACTGGGATGAAAATACAAATACTAAGAAAGAGTACCATTCCTGCCATTGCTCAATAACATCGTTCCATACTTCCTGAAGTCTGTACTCTGTAGTCAACCCTCCCAGAAAAATATCATCTTCAGTACTTCACAAAAATAGCTAAAATTGCTGTTAACTTGGCCCCAAAACTACCTCACGTTCTCCTCCAAGAAAAATTTGTTTCTCTATTGAAATCATGTAAGAAAGCCAGGCAAGTCAAAGCAATACAGACCCAGATTATAACTCACGCTCTTGACCCCAGCAACCAATATACAATCCCAACTTTACTTTCAAAATGCTTTGTTATAAACCAAGTCTCGTATGCCCACACGGTGTTCGATAGAATTCGTAGCAGAAATGCCTCCGTGTACAATGCAATGTTCAAAGGCTATCTGGACTATGAGATGTTCAATGAAGTAATATTGTTGTTCAATGATATGATTCGCGAAAATGTTAGTCCTAATGGTTACACATTTCCAATGGTGCTTAAATCTTGCCTGAGACTAATGGCCTTAAAAGAAGGCGAGATGGTGCATTCTTTGGTGTTGAAATTTGGGTTTAAGTCAAATACCTATGTCGGTTCTACTTTGATTGAAATGTACGCGAGTGCAGGCCAAGTAAGCTGCGCCTCAGATTAGAGGTGTCTTTAAATGCAATGGATGACGATTAATGGGTACTAAAAAAGTTAGTAAACTACATTGAAAAGTCTAGTCAAGGGTTTAGTATTTACAATGTGGAGTAGTATAGACTAAGATGGCAATTTGGATAACCGTTTTATTAGCCATAAATAATAAAAAAAAAAAGCGGGATATTATTAGGAATCAAAATTGCTAACCTTTTTTTTTCTTTTTTTCTTGAACTGTAAAATTGATTACGATTTAACTTTTCACGAGAGTTGGAATTACAATTTTATGATTTGAATGAACATCATCTTTTTTTTATGGATCGACGAAGTAAATAAATCGAATGAAGAATTACATCGTTGGTCTAACTATTGTTATTAACACTGATTAAGTGGGATTCATGAGTTAATTTCTTTGACAAAATGAAAATTTTTTTTTTAAAAAAAAACGAAAGGAGTATGTAAATGCAAAGCGTCCTATTGCAAGCATAAAACAGCGTGGGAGGGAAAATGTCTTTGGACTTTATCAGAGACCTGAGGTGATGGTGACACCTATCCGGGTCAGCGTATCCTTTTTGTCGCTGACATTGAAAAGGCTTATCTTTACTAATTTCGTCCTTTCTTAGCTGGAAACACGTAGATTAGAAGTGGCCAAATGGATTCAGATCCACCGGTCCATCCATATAAATGGATTGGATGATCCATATGAATTTAATGGATTTAAATGGATAATCATCTAAATTCAATTATGTTGATAGATTTATATGAATTATTCTTGCCATCCATATACATCTACTTAATTTAAAAAACAGAAAACATCACCATTACAATTTCCAATACACCTTTAAGTGTGTTTGGATAGTAAGTTATTTGGCCAAATATATTTGCTTACATCACCATTACAATTTCCAATACACCTTTTTATCTTCCCAATTACCTTTTTATCTCACATACATCACATCATAAAAAGTACTACAGTAAAAATATCTCAAATAACTTACAATCCAAACACACTCGTATGTCAGATTCATTTTGTGGGACCGTCTATTCCTTCCTTCATAATTTTCTTGTGTGTCAAGTTGCCAATTAATTACATTTTATTCGCTTCTAGATTCTAGATTTCTTCCATCCTTTTTAAAATTATATATTTAGTCTCTACTCTTGTTTTTTTAATTAAACTCTCATGTAGTAAAGACTACAAACATTTACATTCTTAAGTAAAGAAAAAGCAATAATGTATCAGACAGTGTTAAAGTAAATTTTTTATTCTTTTATTTATAAAAAGGATTTTTCTAATGAGCGTTCCCGCAACACTAGTTAAGATACATAAATGACACTTTCTTTTTTTTTAATAAATGGAAGGTTTTGAATCAAAAACCTCATACTTACAATCCCTCTCCTCTTATCAGCAACCCAATCCTCAAAAAAAAAAAAAAAACACCTAATTTATTAAGTAAATATAAAGTAGCTTGTATATCAATGGTATAATAAGGAGTTTCATACTATATTCTGACTTTACTTGTCACTTTACTGTCCAAAAAAGTCTTGAATACTTAACATAATCTGACGATATTTCCAAACATAAGAGCAAAAGTCTTGAATATTTAAATAAACTTGACAATATTTTCAAAAATGAGAGCAAAATCTAAAATTTGACTGTTCATCTTCGTTCCAGTTGCAGTAATTTTCTCTTTGTGATGCTATCCTTCTTATTAAAAAATAATAATAAAAGAAAAACTCAATACAAATCTAGGGAAACTGGAATTATCACTAAGCATGAAAGCAAAAATTATTATGATTATACAAAAATTTTCCATCACTTGTTAATTCAAAATTTTCCGTCATTCTCTCCATTCAATCAATTGTACAAAAATTAGTTTTGATTTTGTCATACTGCATTGAACGGGAACTCACTGTGCATGTGGCTATATGGGAGGAATAGCATGTAGGGCTGAGGAAAACAGTCTTATGCTTTTTATTTGGAATCGATACTCGTCCGTCTGGATTCTGGAACCTCCTATGTTAATAATGGTGGTAACGAGAATTTGATTGAATTTGAAGAATTTGATTTAGAAAGCATGGAGGAGGCTGCTCCTTATTAGGGGATAAGGTCAGAATATTAGATTAGTAATAAAATTGGGAGTTGAATTATTGTAGGAATATTTTTTGAAAAAAAGGTTATTTTGGCAAAAAAACTCTAACTATGAAAGGGACCAAAATTTATGCATTTGATAGTTTAATGGGTGATTAGAACTTGGCAATTGAGATTGTTTTATTCTTCTTAACGTGATAATGCATGATTCAAAAAGGGCTTTTTTTGGAATATTAAAGTTGTCCTAATTTTTATATACATTTCATCCATTGTATGTAATCAAATTAATGAGAGTAATATACATATAGTAACATATATATATATATATATAAAAATATATAAGAAAGTAAATTAACTATTAATGCTTTAAAAGTATCACCTAATTTTATCTTTTTATTAAAAATAAAACATTGGACCCATTTGTTGATTTGAGCACCAAATAGACAGACTCAGCTGAAGTGGGACTATTGTAATTCCTTCAATGCTGTACAATTAATATGGGAAATGACGATAGAGTTGGCAAACGCAACGGACCTTCTGTCCCATAACATGTGCCACTCTCTGTCCTACTTTTTATTATATTGCTATTTCTCCTTCATAAACATCATGTTTTAATTTTTTTTGTTTTCTTAAGATCTAATAACTATTAATTGAGTAATACACAAAATTTAACAAACTCAAACAAATCAAAATGCATAAAAAATGAGATTTTTTATGAATTTTCTGCTGTATTTTTTAATTTTCTATTATATATTACTTTTTTGAAGCTGTTGTATTTATTTTTTACTTAATTAATAGTTATTGAATCTTAAGGAAACAAAAAAGAATTAAAACATGATGTTTATATAAGAGAAAAAATAATATAATAAAAAGTGGCACAGAGAGTGGCATAGAGTGTGGAACAGAAGATCCGTTGCGGTTGGCAAACCTAAAACTTGAGCTTACATTTGTCTAACATCTACTAACGCTACTAATAGTACAGTAATAGTTCTCATATTTAGTGGGCGACTTAGAAAGAGCAACTGGGATGAAAATACAAATACTAAGAAAGAGTACCATTCCTGCCATTGCTCAATAACATCGTTCCATACTTCCTGAAGTCTGTAGTCAACCCTCCCAGAAAAATATCATCTTCAGTACTTGACAAAAATAGCTAAAATTGCTGTTAACTTGGCCCCAAAACTACCTCACGTTCTCCTCCAAGAAAAATTTGTTTCTCTATTGAAATCATGTAAGAAAGCCAGGCAAGTCAAAGCAATACAGACCCAGATTATAACTCACGCTCTTGACCCCAGCAACCAATATACAATCCCAACTTTACTCTCAAAATGCTTTGTTATAAACCAAGTCTCGTATGCCCACACGGTGTTCGATAGAATTCGTAGCAGAAATGCCTCCGTGTACAATGCAATGTTCAAAGGCTATCTGGACTATGAGATGTTCAATGAAGTAATATTGTTGTTCAATGATATGATTCGCGAAAATGTTAGTCCTAATGGTTACACATTTCCAATGGTGCTTAAATCTTGCCTGAGACTAATGGCCTTAAAAGAAGGCGAGATGGTGCATTCTTTGGTGTTGAAATTTGGGTTTAAGTCAAATACCTATGTCGGTTCTACTTTGATTGAAATGTACGCGAGTGCAGGCCAAGTAAGCTGCGCCTGCAGAGTGTTTGCTGAGATGGTTTTGAGGAATGTTGTTACATGGACTTCAATGATCAATGGTTTTGTTTTGAATGGCGATTTGTTTTCCGCAAGGAGGCTCTTTGATTTGGCACCCGAGCGGGATGTTGTGTTGTGGAATACTATGTTGTTAGGTTACATTGAGCACGTGGATATGGCGGAGGCTAGAAAGCTTTTTGATGTGATGCCCAATAAGGACTTGATGTCTTGGAATACCATGTTAAATGGCTATGCGAATAATGGGGATGTTGAACGGTGTGAAGAACTCTTTGAAGAGATGCAACAGAGAAATATCTTCTCATGGAATGGGTTGATTGGAGGGTATGCCCATAATGGACGGTTTGTTGAAGTCCTTGGAACATTCAAAAGGATGCTAAATGAGTCCGATGTGCAGCCTACTGATGCCACGCTTGTGAATGTGTTGTCAGCTTGTGCAAGGTTAGGTGCACTTGATTTGGGCAAGTGGGTTCATGTATATGCTGAGAGTACTGGGTACAAGGATAACCTTTATGTTTGTAATGGTTTAATTGATTTGTATGCCAAGTGCGGGATGATAGAAAGTGCAATCAATGTTTTTAGGAACATGGGAAGAAAAGATTTGATATCCTGGAACACAATTATTAATGGCTTAGCAGTACATGGTCATGGAGCTTATGCTTTAAAGTTGTTTAGTGAGATGAAACTTGAAGGAGAAAAACCAGACGCAATTACTTTTATAGGTATTTTATGTGCTTGTTCTCATATGGGTTTAGTTGATGAAGGATTTCAGTATTTTCAGTCAATGGTTGATGAGTACTCAATTGCGCCACAAATTGTGCATTATGGTTGCATTGTTGATCTACTAGGTCGTGCTGGACTTCTGGAGCAGGCTGTGGATTTTGTGAACAAAATGCCAGTAAAAGCAGATGCTGTGATTTGGACCACTTTACTTGGTGCTTGTAGAGTTCACAAGAATGTTGAAATTGCTGAACTAGCTCTTCAAAAACTTATCCAGATTGAGCCTAGAAATCCATCAAACTATGTGATGCTGGGAAACATTTATCGAGCTGCTAAAATATGGAAAGATGTTGCACGACTTAAAGTTGCAGAGAGGGATACTGGATCTAGGAAATTGCCAGGTTGCAGCTCAGTTGAAGTTGAGGATGGAGTGGTTGAGTTCTACTCATTTGACGAAAGGCATTCTAGCTCAGAGGAGATATATGATGCCCTGAGAGGATTGATGAATGTGTTGCTATCAGATGGATATGTCCCAGATTTTGTGGAGCTTGGTCAGGGAATCTAGAGAAGTGAAACAAAATTTTGTATTGAGTACCATTTTTGTGTTGATGTACAGTTCGATGCTTTTAACCAAGACCGAGGACATATACGATATAACATGCCATGTGAGAATAATAAAGCACCAAATTCAGTGGAAAATTTCCCAGACCCTGTTCTGATTTTGCTGTACCTGGATTTGCTTGATTCTGCAAAGAATGCCATAATCAGTTATCAATCTGGAAAAAGCTGTCTGACAAATTTTACATCTACTCTGTGAGGTTAAACCATGGTTTGTATGATGGTGGTCACTTTATTACTCAGTCTGATAGATATGTGATAGATTAGGGATCACTCGGTCTGATAGTAGTCACTTTATTGATTTGTACTTTTCCAAATAATGAAGATCCTGTGCTTGAAAATGGACTCCTGAGCTGAAATATTAAAACTAAAATCAAGAAAAAGTGATTGAGACTTCTGAAATAAAATTGAGTCTGCAAAAAAAAAAAAAAGGTTCCAGAGAAGGATGGTGAAAAACCACGTGCATCCGAAGCCCCCGTAAGTATAGTAGTAAATCCAATCTGGACAAGCAAGTCTTGGAAAGGAACTCTGCAAATCCTTGGCTGCAGAATCAAATTCAGCTGAGGACGATATCAATTAGCTTAACTTGGAATCTTAACACACTGCCGTTAAAGCTGTTAACAAGTTGGAACATGTTTGCTTGGAACGAGATGATCATGGGACATTCTAATGACGAATCTCCAGCTTGAAGCTCCTGGTCTTTCGGTAAAGATCCAGCATCTGAAATGGATAAGGTGCAATTTTCGCTAAACAGAGCTCAAACTCCTTCCGCAGGAGCTGAAGACCGGATGCAATTGAAATGATTTTGTGCTTATGAATAAACAGAGGCCAAAGGTTCATTGTTTTAGGAGCTCTTACATCAATCTTACACCAAAAAGGTTATCATACTCTCATGCACTAATATTCTTCTTCTACCTTTGTAATTTCAAAAGCACTAATCTAGAGCCATGAATATGCCCAATAAATCACCGTGATGAAGTATTAGTGAGAATAGGCATTTATCCTGCAAAATCACAGTTCGCTGCCGTGCTGCACTTGACCAGCAGCTGCCCCTCCCTTACTCAACAATTTGAATAGTAGCAATATCCAAGAACCAAATAGAGCAAACCATAGCAACTTTTCCCTATGCCTTGCTCTTATATTCTCAGCCTCCTGCATTCTCACACGTCGCAACAAGCTAGGGATTAACCATTTTGATTGCTCACACATGGGTTTATCATACCAAAGGAAGAATCCGCAGCCATTGCCTTCCTAAACCATTGTCAGAAGCACAAGACAATCAGATCTTCATGGATGATTTTTGCTTGCACTCAACTATGTGAACAGAAAAGGGAAGGAAAAGAAAAAATTCAAGTTCAAAAGAGTTTTACTCCGTAGTTTTCACAGCAGAAGAACCTTCTTCCTGGGTTTTCATCTGTCCAAGAAGTCCTAAGCTTGGAAGCTTTGCCACAGTGACACATCACAGGAACAGTTGTGACCTCTTCACTCTCTTTAACAACATTCTCTTTGCTTTGATCAAACTATGCAACAACAAGTACATAGTGTCAATGCATACAAGATTTGCACGATAAAAAGAGACATGATCAATTACAGATCTCAGTGGATTACATTGAGTGGCTTCAATCATTATCACCAAATTCAAAGAAATTTATTCATTGGAAAGCATTATACACACGCGATATGATAAGTGAAATTCCTAAATATGTCACTGTTTACACTGTCTTTGCAACTTTTGGAGGAAAAGGGGGCTGAAATTCCTTCTTTTTTCCCCACTATATAAATAGCTCCCTGAGTTAAGCGTGATGATTTTCACAAGTGACTTTAGTAAACTGGTTAGTGATCAACATAACACACTTTAGTCAGAAGTACTTGGAACAGAACTCAACTATCTCAACATTGAGAGACTAGAATGAGATCTTTTTACTCAGACTTGGGAGTATTACAAACATTTGCCAAACCAAACTCATCAAGGATAACAAACTGGTTCAAAAAACAAACGTTACTGAGTCCAAATATGTTCATTCTACTAATAACGACCCTCAAGTCAAATTTACATGTGAGGGTGATTGAAAACGAGGAAAGAAACAGGAACACTAATGAACCACAGGAAACTTAGTGCTAAGGTGAATATGCAGTTTCCTGGTCATGTCAACAGCTAGAGTGCTTAATTTTATCAGGCCTGCTGTCCCCAAGTTGCCCAGTTAGCCTCACTTCCTACCCTTGGTATGCTATTAATCTTGGAAAGGGCATCAACCTTGAAGTTCGAACCACACATAACCCCCTCACTATCCACTCTTGGCATGGCTTTCATCTTGTGCATGGGATGTTCAAAGCTCATCAGTCCTCTTTCACTATGGAACATACAGCCTGCAATATTCAATCGCCCAAAACAGAAATCAGAATTTTTCCATGCCATAACATTATACATTCCACAAACTACCACCTCCATGCCACATTTAATGCTTCATTTTTAGTCTGTTCTAAAATATTGCTCACTTTTGCCACATTGAACGTTCTAATTAAAATATTATCATGATGCCCTATGTGTTCCCACCTCTCATCAATCAGTCACATGTTTTCATTCGTCCCAGTGCTTAATTAAAAGAAAGACGCTTGAACCAGTGACAGAGGTGGCATGAATTGTAATTTGGCCACCAGAAAATTTTAAAGTCAACTACTGAGGAGTTTGATCTCTCATCAGTCCTAGAAAAAAACACACACAAAACAAGAATAATCGTCCCAGAACTACGTACCAGTTGGGAATGGGGCAAAGGATTTAGCACAGCTTGCTTTTACCAGATTCACATCATCAGATATCATTAAAGAACCATTGGCTGCTATGCCCCAATAGAGCTTCACTACTTCATCAGCACCCTGCATTCAAAGTAGGAGGCATAGGCATCAGTCAAGATAGGGCCTGAAATTTAACAACAGGATAACATTCTAAACTTTGATATTTCAGAGGGCTTACAAGTGCAGCAAATGCAGTTCTAGCTTTGTCATCATAGATCACAAATCCAAAGCTGCCATCAAGATCCTTGAGGACCTGATGAGCCGGATAGGGGCTCCTGTCACGCAGTGTCCGGTATGCTTCAACAATAAACATGGCCTCATTGACACCCTTGGATAGTCCATATTGCTTGATAAGAGTGGGCAGATTTCTTAAACTCCCAGTGAAGACGCAGTATATGTCATTTACACCACAAAACATCCTAATACATAAAATTTAACATCCAAAACAAGTTTAGTCCCACAAGCAAAGGAGTTATCAGATGAATAATGCTTCTTCTCTTTTAATAACAAAAAGGTAAACCAGACACACAAAACATTTTATGGAATCGGGACCACTGTCGTCCTTTTTATCACAGAAAGAATAATTTTTAGAGTCACGAGTTATCACATATAGGGCCTAACCCCAGTTTCATTTGGAATTTAACAAGTTCTTTACTTTCCTGCTTTTTCATATCTGTATTCTGTAATCTATTCTTTGTGAACGGAAAAAACCCATAAAACTTTCCAAAATCCAATTTGATGATCCCAGAGTTTTTTGACAAACAAGTACAATACATAAAACAGATCCCGTCCCCAATTTGCACTCATTTCATGCCATAGAAAAGTTAATTAAACATCAATTGTACCAAGTCAAGACAGAAAAGAAAAATAAAGGGAAAAATAGGATGATGAGAACCTTTGATGAGCGGTGATGTGTGATCTCTGAGGAGGGGCATAAGCCAGCAAGGCATTGTCAGCAAAGCCCAGAGAGAACCCATTATTGGAATGGGATGACAAGAAATCCTTCAAAGTCTCCTCAAGATTCTTAGCATTGTCAAAAGCTGGAGCATGGGTTGATGAGGCTGGACTCTTCAGCTCCTGGGGTGGAACAACCAAACCATTCTTGAATATTGCCAACATTTTGCTGTAATTCTTTCTCGTCCTTTGTAATTCTTCTCACCAATATCAAGACGAAGAAAGAAGAACAAGAACTGCTACTTTCTTTGTTTTTATGTAAAAGGAAAAGAGATTGTGAATAAATAGCCCGCGAAGAGAGACAGATAGATTGAGACTACTGATGGATAAGAGGGATTTGCTAAGAGTATTTATAGGTATTCCATTGAAGAATTTGATGACCAATGTTGAGTAAAAAGGGAGGTGGCAACGTTATCCAAACAGAAATTGCTGACTAGACAAAACGTCGACATTGTTAGTTTATACACATGGGATAATTTTTTTTATACACGAGGTCAGTTTTAGCATATATGGCATCTATTAATATCTGCTAGTTTTTTTTAAAAAAAAATATTACACCGTGTTGCTACTTAATTGGACTGAGTGACGCAATTTTCTAGAGAATTAATTAAGATTAATGTTTGCGAAAATGTTCGTTAAGATTAGAGGTGTCTTTAAATGCAATGGATGACGATTAATGGGTACTAAAAAAGTTAGTAAACTACATTGAAAAGTCTAGTCAAGGGTTTAGTATTTACAATGTGGAGTAGTATAGACTAAGATGGCAATTTGGATAACCGTTTTATTAGCCATAAATAATAAAAAAAAAAGCGGGATATTATTAGGAATCAAAATTGCTAACCTTTTTTTTTCCTTTTTTCTTGAACTGTAAAATTGATTACGATTTAACTTTTCACGAGAGTTGGAATTTAAATTTTATGATTTGAATGAACATCATCTTTTTTTGATGGATCGACGAAGTAAATAAATCGAATGAAGAATTACATCGTTGGTCTAACTATTGTTATTAACACTGATTAAGTGGGATTCATGAGTTAATTTCTTTGACAAAATGAAAATTTTTTTTTTAAAAAAAAAACGAAAGGAGTATGTAAATGCAAAGCGTCCTATTGCAAGCATAAAACAGCGTGGGAGGGAAAATGTCTTTGGACTTTATCAGAGACCTGAGGTGATGGTGACACCTATCCGGGTCAGCGTATCCTTTTTGTCGCTGACATTGAAAAGGCTTATCTTTACTAATTTCGTCCTTTCTTAGCTGGAAACACGTAGATTAGAAGTGGCCAAATGGATTCAGATCCACCGGTCCATCCATATAAATGGATTGGATGATCCATATGAATTTAATGGATTTAAATGGATAATCATCTAAATTCAATTATGTTGATAGATTTATATGAATTATTCTTGCCATCCATATACA